CAGGCTTTTAGAGCCCTAGAGCAGGCTCAATCCTTAAAAGAGCAGGCTCTACTTTGTTTTGAGCCTGCTCTAGTCCAGAACTCTCACAGTATGTTGTTTTTTGATTTTTCTGTGCGTAGTTTGAGTTGTATAGTGTATAGCATCTCTTATAAACTATTTTAATTGATGTGTTAGGACTATAATAGACTTAATCTAATATGGAAAACATTAATCCATGATTGAGCTAAGGAATGGAGCAAAATAAATCTAAAGAAAAACGGTAGATTGCAAACTGGGTTTTTGTGCGTCGTTTTGACTATTCTGAGTATTTCTATTGTGTTTAAACTATTTTAAATATTGGATGGAATTGTTTTAGACCTAAACTTAGTATAGAGGAACATTAATCTCTAATGGGATTAATTGAAGGAACAATATAAAGTTTAAGAAAAACTTAAATGATGCACACCGTTTTGCTGGTTTTGTGCACTGCAATTTAGCAGATTTTTATTATATGATTCAATGATATATATAATCATGTTTCCTCAGTGTTTTAAGTATGGTGATTTATTTATAATCAACTATGCTTAGGTTGGACTTAATTGGTACTTAAGTTGAATTAAATTGTATCAATTCATGGATCTTGTTGGAGGATGTAAATATTTGCATATATTATAACAGTTTACAACATTGGATATGGTTTTTTAGGCCTTGTATTAAATGCTTAATATTTATGTATATGGATTCATATATCTTGTGCATAACTTAGAGTATGGTTGATAACTATTTAATATTGTATTGTCAACTATGTTAACTGGAGGATTGTATGTACCGGTATGGGACGGTGACATACTAGGTATGGATTAATTCAAGCACTAAATCCTACCTAATTTGGAATGAGTTGGATTAATCATAACAAGGTTAAGTACTACTTATATTGATATATATGAACCGGTATGGGACGGTGTCATATTAGGGATGACTTAATTCAAAACACTAAGACCTACCTATATTAGGAATGGATTAGTTCAAAACACTAAGTCCTACCTAATTTGGATTAAGGTATGGATTAACCATAAAGGTTAAGTCCATCACCTACTTGTGTCATGTCAATCAAATAAATTGAATGACCTATTATGGTTTCAGGATGGATTTGTTATACATATATCAGACCACTATACAGATGGATGATATTTTGTATGAGGAGTACGGACTTTATATATGTATTATATGTACCATGGTATGAGCTTGAGTCTCAGGACCATGGTTAGGGCGCGTATATCACCTAGGATGGATAACTGGACATAGGTGTTGTTCCCTGGTAGGTCTAGGTACTCATGCCCACCTTCGGGTGCGTATTCGCATGTTGCCTTCTATGTAGGCTGAGACAGACCTACTGGACTAGCGAGCGTCCTATAGTGTGTGCTATATATACATATATGGACTACTCTAGATATTGTTGAGTCTTTCTAGGATGTATCTGCGTATCGGATTACTGTTTGGATCGTAGTAGATCAGGACTTGCATGTGGGCCTGACCTACTCCTTTATTTTTCAGGTGCTTGGTAGTTCCAGAATTAAAGGTTGATCGTGTAAAGCAGATACAAACTTCCATTCCACCGACTACGTAGGACCACTCTCTATGTTTAGCTTTATGTTTTATTTCCAGTTCGAGACTTTATTAGGGGTCCTCTAGAAGGATTCCCGAGTTGTATGGATTGGTGGTTTTGGATGATTGGATTTAAAATATTTATAATTCAAGGGTTATTAATTTAGTTTCTTCTAGCTATTTAATTTTATTTCTTATTTCACTTTGTATTCCGTGTTCGTTTTAACATATTAATTGTTTGATAACCTTCGGGTTTGGGTCCAGGCCTGATCAACCCGTGTCCCGGATCCGAGGGGTATCACATGGTTCTTCCTTTGTTTTTTGAGCCTCAGCCAAATCAGCCCAATTCAATGGAAGGAAATATAGTAGATACAAGTCCTCCCATGGAAAGCCCTGGACAGTCTAGTTCTTGGCCAATCATTATGGAACCAAATGATGGTATCTATATAGAAGAAGTTTTGGAAGAAGATGAAACTGAGTATCTCCATAAATTAAAGGGGGTTGTGATTGAAAAGAACAGCCCCACGAGGCCAAAGAAAATTGTGTTAGAAAAGCCACCATATGGCATGACTCAGCAGCTTAAACCTTTGTACATCAAGGTGCTAGTGGAAGGAAGGCCCTTGGCAAGAGTTTTGGTGGACAATGGTTCGGTATTGATTATTGTTCCAGTCAATGTTATGCGCATGCTTGGAAAGTCTCCTGAAGATATCATTCCAACTGATATGTTCATTAGTGGATTCACAGGAGGAATAGCGAAGACGCAAGGAATCCTACTGTTGGAACTAATGGTGGGAGATAGAACTTCCATCATAGCCTTCTTTGTTATTGAGTCTACAGTGGCCTATAATTTGCTCTTAGGCCGCGAATGGATTCACCCAAATTTTTTGCATTCCTTCTTTACTCCATTAAATGCTAATATTTTGGGATGGAGATGAGGTAAAAGTGGTGGAAGCTGATAGCCGGCCATTTGTGGCAAGGGTTTACCATGCAGATGCTGAGTTGTACAGTGAAGAATTCGTTCCAATCAAATTTATTGGAAATGATAGCAAGGGCCGTCCAAAGAAGGCCACCATGAGAAAAACTCTTACGGAAGAAGATGTAAGGGAGCTTTTCCAAGAAACACTAAGGCCAACAATTCTACCCAAGGCCGGTGTTCAGCACTACATTTCAAACAAAAGTTTTTATGGAAGAGAAACCTAAAGAAAATAGAATACTTGGCCAGGCGGTTAGCTGCTGCCTTGCCAGGTTGAAAGCATATCTAGCCGAACTACTGCTGGAAAGGGCTGCTGTTGCTGGTACTTCATTTTCAACCAATGTTTTGGAGATTATAGAAGATACTGAAGACAAGTTGGATGCTATCCAGCTAATAGACTTGAAGGCGGCGCCAACAAAGTTAGACTATCTCAAGGCTGAAGTACAAGATCCACTTTTGGAGGTTAATCTTGGAACAGAATAGGACCTTCGGCCTACCTACATCAGTAAGCTTTTGGAACCAATCTTTAGAGAAGAATTGATTTCCTTACTTGAAGAATATAAAGATTGCTTTGCATGGACGTATGAGGAAATGCTTGGATTTTCCAGAGAGTTGGTAGAGCATAAGTTGCCAATTAAGGAGGGTTTTAAGCCTTTCAAGTAGCCTCCAAGAAGGATGTCCCAAGAAGTTGTTCTAAAGGTCAAAGAAGAGATAGAAAGGCTACACAAGGCTGGTTTTATAAGAACCGCCAGGTATGTTGACTGGATTTCCAAAATAGTTCCAGTTATTAAGAAAAATGGCAAGCTAAGGGTATGTGTGGATTTCCGGAATATCAATCTTGCAACTCCAAAAGATGAATACCCCATGCCTGTTGCTGACCAATTAGTATATTCTGCTACCAAGAATGAAATTCTTTCATTCATGGATGGGCATTCCGGATACAACCAGATTTATATTGCGGAAGAAGACATTGCCAAGACGGCTTTCAGATGTCCAGGATTTATTGGGACCTTTGAATGGGTTGTCATGCCATTTGGATTGAAGAATGCTGGAGTAACAAATCAAAGGGCCATGAATGCCATTTTCTATGACATGATTGGTCATTTCTTGGAAGTCTACATTGATGACGTAATTATCAAATCCTCGGCCAAGGCTCAACATCTTGATAATTTAAAGATGGCTTTTGAAAGAATGAGGCAGCACAAGTTGAAGATGAATCCTTTAAAGTATGCCTTTGGGTTTCAGCTGGAACTTCCTGGGTTTTCTAGTCCACCAAAGAGGTATTGAGGTAGACTAAAATAAAGTAAAGGCAATTATTGAAGCAAAGCCACCGGCCATTAAGAAAGAACTACAAAGGTTTCTTGGACAGGTTGGATATTTGAGGAGATTCATTGCCAACCATGCTGGAAAGACTCATGCTTTCTCCCCATTGTTGAAATTGAAAGGTGCTGAGGAGTTTAAGTGGACGGAACAGCACCAGCAAGCCTTTGAAGGTTTAAAAAGCTATTTGGTCAACCCTCCAATGATGATGCCTCCAATTAAGAAGCGGCTTCTAAGATTATTCTTATCGGCCGCTGATGAATCTATTGGAACTCTTTTAGCTCAGAACAATGAATGGGGAAAGGAACAAGCCATCTATTATCTAAGTAGGGTGCTCACTCCAGTGGAATGTAGGTACACTTCCATTGAAAAGTTGTGCATTTCCTTATACTATACGGTTATGAAGTTAATAACCTATATGTTGCCAGTGGCTGTGTATATCAATTCTCAAACAAATTTGATTAAGTATATGCTTTCAAGGCCTTTGATCACTGGACGTATTGGAAAGTGGTCATTGGCCTTAATAGAGTTTTCCTTCAAGTATATTCCACAAAAGGCAGTCAAAGGAAGGGTGGTGGCAGAATTTCTAGCAGACCATCCTTCCACCAAGATTGATTCAGAAATATGTGGTGAGGTGAATAATCTCTACCTTGATTATACACCTTGGACTCTCATGTTTGATGGATCAAGCACTCATGATGGAGGAGGAGCTGGAATAGTCATCATTTCACCAAAGGGGAGAAAAACCGCATTTTCTTTCTTCTTGGATTTCAAGTGTACAAATAAACAAGCTGAGTATGAGGCGCTAATTATTGGGCTGGAAATCCTATTGGAGCTAAAAGTGGAGAAGGTCCAGATTATTTGAGATTCAAATTTGATACTCAGCCAACTTTCTGAAGAATATAAGAGTCTTAATTGGCATTTGAGGCCTTTCCATTCTTTGGCTTTGGAATTACTTTGCCAATTTGATGAATTCCAACTCAAATATTGGCCAAATCATTTGAAATGGGAGGCTGATGATTTAGTACAGCTAGCTTCCAGAGTGAAGGTCCCACCAGGTGTAGAAGAAACTTTAATCACAATCAAAAGAAGGACTCTTCCTTCTATAGAGTCACGGTATGAGATGGCAGGTCATTTCCAAGCTGATGAGCCAGAAAGGATCAAGCCTGCAAAGAAAGCATGGGAGATTTTCAATGTTGATATAGATGGCTTAGACTTGGAACATTGGAGAACACCAATCATCCATTTTTTGCAGGAGCCTAGTACCAACATGGATAAGAGAATTCAACTTTTGGCACCTCATTATATTTTGATTGATGGAGATCTCTATAAAAAGAGTAAAGAAGATGGACTTTTGCTCAGATGCCTCGGCAGGGATGAATCTATGAGAGTAATGGCAGAATCGCACCTTGGAATATGCGGAGCACACCAAGCTGGAATCAAGATGAGGTGGCTTCTTAGAAGGTACAGTTATTATTAGAAAGGCATATTAAAAGACTGCATAGAGTTTGCAAAAACCTGCATTGCATGTCAAGAACATGGCCCGCTCCAGAGAGTTCCAGCTATAAACATGCAGCCAATAGTAAAAATATGGCCATTCAGAGGGTGGGCTTTAGACTTCATTGGAAAGTTAAGGCCACCATCTGCAGATGGTCACACTTATATGGTAGTTGCAATAGATTATTTCACCAAGTGGGTGGAGGTCATTCCATTAAAGACTTGTGAGCAACCAACAGTCATTAGTTTCATCAAGAAGCACATTATACACAGATTTGGGATTCCAGAGACTCTCACCACAGATAGAAGCCTTTCTTTCATTGGAAGTGAGGTCATTGACTATTGTGCTGAATGTTGTGATACCCCTCGGATCTGAGACACGGGTTGATCAGGCCCAAGCCCAAACCCGAGGGAAATATCAAACAATTAATATTTTATAATCGAACACAGATGACAAAATGAAATAAGAAATAAAATTTAAGCTGAAAGAAACTAAATATAAATCCTTTAAAAATTGAATACTGAAATCTGACAATCCAACTCCATAAGTTTAACAACTCGGGAATCCAACTTTAGTGGACCCCTAATAAAAATCCAAACTGAAATAAAACAACTAAAAGAACATCCTGATATAAGCTATGGAGAGAAATCCTACATCGTCGGTAGAGTGAGTAGAAACCTCTGCTTAGCACGAACACGTCTAAGTCTGGAACTGTCGTGTACCTGAAAAAATAGAAGTGGGTCAGGTCCACGCGCAAGTTCCATACTACTACAATCCAAATAGAGGCCCGATACGCATGTACATCCTAAACAATTCAATAATAGCTAATAGTCCATAAATATATATATAGTCACACTAAAGGACTCTCACTGGACTACAGGCCGGTCTTAACCTGAATAGAGGTAACATGCTAAAACGCACACGAAGTGGGCATGTGTACCTAAACCTAAACATGGTACACCTCCAACCATCGTATCCAGCTATGCATCCCAATGCATATACACTCCCTAACCGTCGATCCTGAGACTCAAGTTCATATCGAGGTACTATAACAATATATTTAAAATCCGTCCAGAATCCCTAGTAGTGCCGCTCAACTAGTTGTTGCCATGACACTACAATTTAATAGGACTTGACTTTTAGTTAATCCATTTCCAAATCCAGAGTAGGTAGGTTTTGGTATTTTGAATCCAAACCGTCCCTAGTATGCCACCGTCTGTGATACCCCTCGGATCCGAGACACGGGTTGATCAGGCCCAGGCCCAAACCCGAGGGAATATCAAAACAATTAAAGTATTTTAAAGTGAACACAGATGACAAAATGAAATAATAAAGATGGAAGTAAAACTAAAAGAACATTTAATAATAATAAAACCCTCCATGTATAACTGAAAATTGAAACTCCAATCCTCCAAAACTTCAAGGTTACAACTTGGGAATCCACTGATGGACCCCTAACCAAAAGTTCAACTGAAACTGAAAACTAAAAATAGATAATGCTAGAAACATCGAGAGAAGTCCTACGTAATCAGATGAAGGTGAGACTGTCCTCGACAAGCATGATCAAGCTCTAAGGCTGGAACCGTCTTGTACCTGAAAAGAATAATGAAGGAGTGGGTCATACCCACAAGCAAGTTCTAATCTAACTGCAATCCATACAGTGACCCGATACACAGATACACCGTAGACACCTCACAATATCTATCTAATCCATACGTATAAATATATCCACACTAAGGGACATTCACTAGTCTATAATAGGGGTCTCAACCTGAATAGAAGGCAACATGCGAATACGCACCCAAAGGTGGGCATGAGCACCTAAACCTAACAGGGTACACCTTAACCTATTATAACCAATTACGCATCCACTGCATATACGCACCCTAACCAACGAGTCTGAGACTCAAGCTCAGCTCGTGGTACCATAAACATATATATAAAGTCCGTCCAAATCTAGGGTATGTAGTTCAAATATTTAATAAACTGACATACAACAAACCAACTGGTTAGACACTCAACTTATTCAGTTGATGTGACTGAACCACCGTCCATTAATCTAGGAAGTCGTCCAACTTGGTTACAGCTGATCTGACTTAGTCACAATTAGGATTCGATATCTTTCAATCCATTCCATTAATCCATTAGGTTAGGTTTATGCGTTTTGAGCTAAACCGTCCCTAGTATGACACCGTCCCATACCGGTACATACAATCCTCCATATCCATGTAAATTACAACATATATAACAGTTCAATAATTTACAGACCAAAAACCACCATCCAAATAATTGCAGAAAAATATTTAAAGTTTCAGCAATTTAAATCCAAGCATTTAACCATATAGTTGCAGGAGACGATTTAATAAATCAACAACTAACATCTAGAGCATGCATAGACCAAATTTAATATGTCAGGGACTTTATCATGCATATGAATAGGTTAAATAATCCTATTAATATCCAATAAATTGCTAAAACAATTTCAGAAGATTGTTTAATGTTTCAGCAATTTAAATCCAAGCATTAACCATATAGTTGCAGGAAACGATTTAATAATTCAGCAACTAGCCTCCTAAGCATGCATAGATCAAAATTAATAATTAAATGACCTTATCATGCATTTGAATGCATTCTAAAACAAGTTTTATAAACACATTATATTCCATCAAATTGCTGAAATTTAATTCAACAATTAATTTATCTTCCATTTGTTAACAACATAGGAAGTGCCTTAATTTTTACACTGTTTGTCCCGACAATTTAGAATTAAACCTTAATCAATTTAAGGTCCTAATAACACCCAAATTCAGCCTTCTAATCTCTCTGTGGAACCCCAGACCCAACAGATTAAATCCCATGCTCCAATAGTAAAACACAGTACGCAGAAAACTAAAAAAAAATTAAAACAAAACATAAAATGAAAAGGGAGCTTGCTCCAAATTTTGGGAGCAGGCTCTTTCAGCCTAGAGCCGGCTCTAGGATTCCTTAGAGCCAGCTCTACTTGTTGTGGGAGCCGGCTCCCACTTTTATGGAGCCGGCTCTCACCTCCTTTGAGAGCCTTCAGTCCCCGGTGCTTCATTTCAGCTTTTGTGCTCCTTCTCCGGCTTATTCCTATCACTCTGTTAGTTTTTAAAACTAATCTTAGGTGTCATATTAATACCCAGTAGCATCCCAATGGCTTGATAACAACAATTAAAATCAATTACAGAGATTAAATTTGCTACCGAACTAACCCGCGTTAGGAACAAAACTGAAACTATAATTCTATTCCAACCTCTCTGTTCCTCTTCACAAACTAATCTTAGGAGTCTTATATCATCCCATTAACATCCCCAGGGTTTGTTTACACAAGATAAAAGCAAGAATCGTAACTAAAATCTCAACATATTTTAATATGCTTTAATGAATACAATGCAAACAGATCATCAACAAGCATACATTAAACACATAAGTTTCAATTACAAATTAGTTAATCCCTAGAGACTATCTAGGTGCACAGAACACGAGCCAAAGGAAAAGAGGAAGATAAGAACTTGCCTGCAGTTTTGGACTCAAAACTTTGTCGCCGTTTTCCTAACTTCCGGCAACCACTGACTACCTTCTAACCTCCTCTGGTTCTGGTCTAATCCACCAAAATCCTCCTTTGGTACTCACTGTTCTTCTCCTTGACAATTCTTACAGTGCCTCCGTTCACAACCCTCAGTGCTAAGAACTTACTTCACGTTTATGTAATCTGAATTATGATTGTAAACCCTAGGCTAAAGCATAATGGTTGTATTTATAGGTTTAACTCTAAAATCCTAATCCTTGTAATTTTAGAGACAGAGCCCTAAACTTAATCCTAGTCGGCCCATAAACAAAACCTATGATTAAATTCTATGTTGATGCCCAAAAGAAACTGTGAGTCAATTTATGAATTTAAAACTCACGTAACTTAATTTTAACATTACAAGAATTAAAGTAAGTTAATTTCCTAAGTTTAAAACAGTGAATTACAAATAATACAATTAATAATTTACGAAAATAGACACAACAATTAAGAATTTAAATAAACCAAATAATGCACATAAAACCAATTTAATTCAAATTTCAAATAACCAATTAAACAAATGAAAAACAATAAAATAAATAAAAATGCGATAAAGACAATAAAATAAATAAAAAATGCAATACAATAAATATTAAAAATGCCGAGACTATCCTTTTAAAATTAGGGGTATTACACCGTCCCATACCGGTGCATACTCCAACCATCCAGCAGTTGATAGAACATACACTTAAGGTAAATATCATCTAAATCCATGCTTCCAACAATTGATACTAACAGTGATAATAATGAAAGCATCAAAATAGAATTTCAGTATTTTCATAAACACACTTAATGTATAGTGTTTCATAAAATCCGGTATAGTGCTAAGTTTAAATCTTAATAGCACACAACATCCAACAGTTGATATTACAGTCAGTTAAGATAACCATCAACTAGATCCATTCCTCCAGCTATTGATACTAGCAGTGATAAGATAAGTATCAACAACAGCACCACAATATATATATAAACATGCTTAGTTTAGGTTAATTTACAAAATCCCATTAGTGCTAAGTTTAAGAATTAATAACCTTCAACACTAACATATCCTAGACAAGTATAATTCAAATACATACTCATGATATAGAATTAAACATGTTCCAATTATATCATCCGTCTCACAAGATTACCATTTCAGAGAGAATTAAACACTACTAGCCTCACAGATTTAAACACAGTATAACTACCTGATTAAGTCCCTACTGTCCAAGCTATTCTAAGCAAGTAGAGTTAATTAACCCCACATCTGAAGCTTTAATCTAACCATAGCCACCAATTAGACCTTCCATATTCAATTCTGCACTCAACTGAAAACTCCAGGATCAACTACTGCATGCAAAACTGACTGGAGAATGAAGAAAAAATTAAAAACACAGCAAGGAGACGTCTCCAAAAAGTGGAGCCGCCTTCTTTAGGCCTTGGAGCCGGCTCCCATACTTGGGAGCTGCCTCCACATCAAAGGGAGCCGGCTCTCTCCAAGGGAGAGCCGGCTCTCCCCCTCTCTGCCTAGTCTCTTTGCCTTTGTCTCCGTTTTACGCCTCTGCTATTTCACCGCCATGACTTCTAGAGGCTGTAACCCAATCCCAGTACATTCCCAGTCTATGCTTAAGTCTAGTTTACATTACATAATGGCTTTAAATAAAGATTCATGCAAGCAACCATCATATTTTAACCGTTTTACAAAGCATAAAAACATATTGATAAATTACAGTTTAAGCACGAACAGAGAATGTTTTAAATTGATTCCATTAATCCTAAAACTATTTAAGAATGCAAAGAACACGAA